GGTGGTCGCATTTCGATATTTATGGGTTTACGATTTTCCTCAGTGGCGTAGTCAGGTGGGCCCGTGAGGCACATGCCCCCCCCCCCCCATCAGGTTCAGGGGCCCATCCCGAGGGGCCCTGCGGCGCCAATTGGACGCTGAGGTTCCACGTTGGCTATATTTGGACTCAGAAGGGCCCCACAGGGCTCGTAAGAACACCTCATGGGCCCACAAGTACCAACATTATCTCCATAAGGGCCCCAAGCCAGCCTCTGAGGGCCACTTGCCGGCCTCTGGGGGTCTTAACCGGCCTATAGGGGGCCAGCTCTAGGAGTTGCACACCCGCCTGTAATGGCCCCACACCCATTTCTCTGAGGGCCCCTATAACGGCGACTGTGAGGGCCCTCACCGGCGCCCCTGAGCGCCACACCGGCGTCTCTGAGGGCCCCACACCCCTAACTCTGAGGCCCTACACCAATGCCTTTAAAAACCCTACATGGGCGGTTCTGAGGACCCTTGTCAGTTACCAGCGACCCTGACGGCCCCACACAGGTGACTCGGAGGGTCCCAGCGACGTCTGAGCGCACCATGCCAGTCTCTGAGAACCCCACAAGGCTCCTGAAGGCACCGGTGACCTCTTGATATCTTCTTGTCGGCCTATGAAGGGTCCGTTCCGTAACAGCAGTTCTGAGGGCCCCACGCGCGCCTGTGATGGCCCTAAAGCAGTGTCTCAGAGAGCCCCCACAACGGCGCCTGTGAAGTGTGAGGGCCGTCACCGGCGACTGTGAAGCCCCCGCACCGGCGCCTCCAGTCCGAGGGCCCCACATTGCCATATCTGAGGGCCCCACCACTAGTGCCTCTTAAGGCCCTATATCGGCGGCTCTGAGGGCCCAACATCGTAGCTTCTGAAGGCCCCACAAGTGTGCATGTGACGGCCACCCTGCCACCGGTGACATTTGAAGGCCCCACACCGGCGACTCTGAGGGCCCCATCGGCGTCTGAGTCCGTTCCGGTCTCTAAAGACGACCCCACAGGGTTTCTGAAGGTACCACCGGCCTCTGATGGCCCTTTGCTGGCCTCTGAGGGCCCGTCGCCGGTCTCTGGAGCCCCCTGCCGGCTTGTAAAGAGTACGCGCCAGCAGCTCTAAGGGTCCGACACACGTGTTCGACGGACCCACACCAGTGTCTTTGCAACTTAACGTCTTTTTTTCGCCCTACTTCTTAAAACTAACTTTTCTTTTCTTTACATCTTTATTTCATGCCTTGTAAATTGCGTAATTGTTTTATTTTTAGTAGTGAAATACTGCAGAACAATTATTTTCCTCAAGCAGAGTTAGTGGGAGTTATTGAGGGAGAAAATCATTGGGGGTGCCCGGAAAACCATTGGGGGTGCTCATTTGAGCATTGGGGGTGCTGCAGCACCCCCAAAGGTATACAAATCGACACCCATGAGTAGAATGATGAGTTTTGAAACACATCTTGTCTTTTTTAAATCATGAATTACACCATTTTCATTATTCACATTTGAACCTGTTCCATCATCACAATATTATTAGCAACAATCACTTCTAATCATTCATCACTAAAACGAAATCCCGCAGAAACCGAAAAAAAGTTCAGAGCTGTGAACTTTTTTTCGGTTCCGACTCGTCGGTTTTTGCGGGTTTTCGTTCCACGGGACGCCAGACTGGTAGTGTAGCTTGCGCAATGCATTCGCTATGAGGCAAACTTGACGACGCGAACCGAAATCCCGCAGAAACCGAAAAAACGTCGGAATTCATGCTAGTGTAGCTTAGGCTTAAGAGAGGTAGAATCATCCCGCAATTTCCAATGGACCGGTCGCTAAGCATTAGCGTGACGTCACTGGTGGAGACCGCGCGGCGCCCGGCTCCAAGCCGTATATCGGGTACATTTGGCACTTTATCGTTGTTATTACTGAACGTAACGACAACTAATGACTCTTAATAACTTTTTTACCCACCTAAAGCTGATTTCCTTCACTTGCCGATACATTGCCGACCCGAGCCCCAGGGTTGACAATCTTGGGATATGGGTCGGATGGGCGACCTCGCGACAGGAGAAGGAACGATTGCAATTGTTGTGTCCTGCACCGCCGATTGCATTCTCTATCTGCACCCGGAGGGGGGCAGGGGGCACGTGCCCCAATCGGATCAGGGGGCCTCTCGGGCCCGAGGGGCCCTGCAACGCCAATTGGCGGCTGAGGGTCCACGCTGGCATTTTCGACTCAGAAGGGCCCCACAGGGCTCGAAAGAACACCTTATGTGCTCCGAATGGCCACACTTCTCTCCATAAGAGCCACACACCGGCTTTTTATTGTCCCTTGTCGGCATTTGAGGGCCCCTCGCCGGCCTCTCAGGGCCCATTGGCGACCTAGCTGAGGGCCCTTACCGGGCTATCAGGGACCAGCAGCTCTAAGGGTTCCACACACGCCTGTGATGACCCCCTAAACCAATGGTTGATGGCCCCCACAACGGCGCCTGCGAGGGCCCTCACCGGCGGCTGTGAAAGCCCCAAACCGTTGCCCAGCTGAGGGCCCCACACTGCCACCTCTGAGTTCAACCGGCACCCCTGAATGAAGTCCTAAAGGCCCAAACCAGTGCTTCTTGGCCATATATTTATCGGCGGCTCTGAGGGCTGAACGCCGGAGCCTCTGACGGCCCCAGACGGGACCTTCGCATTGGACGGCCAGTGGCCACTCACCGGTGACTTTTGAGGGCCCCACACCGACGACTCTGAGGGCCCCCACCGGCGTCTGAGAGTACCTTGCTGGTCTCTGAGGACTCCACAGGGCTCCTGAAGACACCGCAGACCTCGAGGGCCCTTTGTCAATCTCTGAGAGCCCCTGTCGGCTTATAAAGGGTTCGAGCCAGCAGCTCTAAGAGTCCCAACTCCCACACCCGACTGTGATGATGACCCCACACTGCAGTGTCTGAGGGCCCACAATGGCAACTGTGAGGACCCTCACCGGCGCCTCTGAGGGCCACACACTAGCACCTCAGAGGGCCTACAGCGGCACCTCGGGGGCCCCGCACCAATGCCTCTGAGGGCCTCACACCGGTACCTACCTGTGAGTGCCCACACCAGTGCCTCCAAAGGCTTCATAACCGGCGGCCCTGAGGGCACTACACCGGTGATTTTAGAGGGCCTGCCGAAGACACAACACAATTCCTTAGTCTCGCTGAGTTTCTATCCCAATCCCATACCGGCTTCTATCCCAATTCCGGCTCAACTAATTAGCACCCCCCTCCCCCCTATGGGTTAGCGGCGCCGCGCCGGTGTCTGTGCCGGGGGGCCAGCGCCATCGGGGCGGCAGTCGGCCACGCGCACTCAATGGTTAACGCTTAGCACCGGCGGCTAGCGCACGCCCGGTGTGTTATCGGCCGTGAGCCGCTCCAAAACGGCTGCAGTATCTGGTCGATATAGGCAGTAAGCAGACGAGGAGAATGAGATGCAGGTGGATTGATGACCGGCAAGCGCTTTTGTGCAGCTTTACGAGGGCGAAGGGTCAAAGTCGGCTGCTAAGCCGTGAGCGGGGTTTATCAGATGCCGGTTCACTATGACCTTTATCCGGGTACCCTGATGCACTCTTGGAGAGCCGAATTACAGCAAAACTCCATCCACGACTGTATCTATACGGCTTACGCTTTTCTGAAAACGTCTGCGTTTGGCCTTCTACGGGCCCGGCCCGGCCGGCCGGCCGAACGGCCCCGATTGGCGATCCACCAGTGACGTCACTGGTAGTGTTAAGCTGATTGGCGAATAATACATGGGGAGAACCGGGACGACATCCCCCTGTCCTGAATGAAACATTCCGGCCCAAGTGTGATATTTATTTTAGCATATGCCGTTTAATTTCCATATTTAAGCTTCTTTAACAATTGTACATGCTTGAAAGAAGTGAAAAAACCAAGAACGGATATCAAGAACTAAAAAATGTACATATTCCCTGACCTTAAGATAATAAACCAAGCCGACTCAAGATCACTGTGTTCCATCCTTGTGTCTGGCTCTGAGTTGGATTCATATCAAACCAAGAACATCTATTTCATATGTCATATGAGAAGCTAGAGTAACGTTCGTTTTCAATGTTAGAGAAGACAGTATGTGTAGTATGAACAGAACAGTGACGTCAGTGACAGTATGAATAAAGTTTTTTAAAGTTTTTCCTGTGAAGTGAGCGCTTGGTTTTTTACCCATGTCAGTGACAGTATGAATACAGTTTTTACTGATCAATGTGAAATGCGTTTTTTGTCAATTCATTGCAGTTGTAAAAGGCATGAAATTGACGCCATAAATGTAGGTGATTAAATAATATGTCTGTACATTAGGATTTAGGATTTAAAATATGTTATTGAAAACCAACATTTACAATCTGTTCAATAGTTCGAAGCGACCAAATGCAACACGTAAGTTCACGTTAGATTTCTATCAGTTAAGCTCTTTTCCAGCGCCTTCCTCCGTCTCAGGAAATGCTTCAAAAGTTCGCTGATAAAATGTTTTGCCCATGGGCCGAAACCTTTGACCAATTGCCTTCAACATTATGCGGTTTAATCCAAAAAGCTTTTACCGCACGCTCGCGCTAATGCTAAAGGCATACTTCGGCATATGCTAAAAAACTTATTGACCTAGTTCGGTTTGACAGTACAAGGCAGTAAAACATGTGGTATTCAAAATAGCCTTGTTATGCAAATGCAGAAACAACGTGAACCAATCCCTTCGTCTTTTTTCTTCCACCCGTATTTAATTGTATAAAGGATGTATTGAGTACTGTAGCCGGAGCCGGAGTCGGAGCTGCCGGAGCCGGACCATTTTACTTGGAGCCGGGGCCGAGGCCGGAGCCGCCATGACATTTCAACCGGAGCCGGAGCCGGAGCCGATTTTTTCTCCGGAGCCGGAGCCGGAGCCGGAACCGTCAAAAATTTCCACGGCTCCGCATCCCTGACTGCGACCCATGCATCACTCCTCAATTTTACCACCGTATCGATGTCTGCTTGCTCGCAGAGAGCGGCCATGGCGAGCGCAGGGCCGTGGCGGGGCTCCGAGACCCCCTGGAGGGAGCTGTGCCTGCTACTGCTGCTGCTGTCTCGCTGCTCGTGGGTGCAGGCACCCGGTACTTGCCACCAGCTCACAGTGGCAGATGGCTTTGCTGGCGAGATGACCAGTAGCGGTGGGCTATTTGACCCGGCCAACGAGGCAACCGCTCAGGTAAGAGAGGGAGAAAAGGAGAGAGAGAGAGAGAGAGAGAGAGAGAGAGAGAGAGAGAGAGAGAGAGAGAGAGAGA